AGATGTTCATGTTCTTATCAAATTTGACGAAATTTAATTTGGAAGGATCCATTGTTGAGTTATCGTAAAAAGAGTCATTTATTTCCTATGGTGTTTCTATGCGAACATTGACCTATGACGATTTTCGTAACAAAAACTTTTAATAGAGAATTTCACCAGCTACAACAATGGAATATAAAACATTAAGAAAATATTTTGGAATCAATTTTTGGGTTAAGGGAAGGATTTTTAAGAAAATAACAATTTTTACTTTTCGCAGTACACATAACACTCGGATTTAAATCCGAAGTTTACACATTTATTTTTAAATTAAGAGTGATATTTCAGCTAAGAACTGTATGATAAAATGAATACTTTATAAGTCACATTAACTATTGAATATAAAATAGATTTTATTTGAAAATATTGTTGATCGCCAAAAGGTAAGAAAAACGTAATAAAAACAAACTTCTATGTTTTCATATAGGATCTGGATATTTTTCTAACACTATATATTTGCACATATATAAACAGTAGAAAGAGTATACTTCCAAGCTTTGAATAATATTTAATAGATTCATGTTTATATATTTATTAGTCTATGAAATAATAGTATTGAAATAAGAATCGTAAAGTGTTTAATGAATAATTTATTTCAATTAAAAACTGATTACAAAGTTAATGAATAAAATTAAAGAAAATTTATTTCATTGATTTTCCTATGTAAGAAATTCATTCAGTAGTAAAATAATCTTGAACAATCGATTGCTATTGCTCTGCACTAATTCAATAAAATAAATCAATGTTTCGATTGAACAATTTTATCCATCATGAGAAGATTGTTATGAAATTTATAATCATTAATTTTAATAGAAAATACTGAAATGACTCAAATCAACTTTACTATTTGACAATCTTTTATTACCATCTGTCTGGTGGTACTGATATTTCTTGACAAGATCCTGTGCGAGCAGATAACAATATTTAAATAAAACCCTGGAAGCATACATATTGTCTTTGTCAATAGAAATATTTCTACGAAATGTATTTGATCATTTAGACGATATGAAAGTAGTATTATATCGAAACAATCGATAGGAAATATATTTTTTATTTGATAAATAAGATATGTAACCCTTGTTCATCGTTTTATACTTAATTATATGAAAAATGAAGCTTTCAAATAAGATCAATGCTTGATTCTGTTTTAACAGTATGATAGAATCTAAATTTATCTATCATGGATGAATAAATTATATGTATGAAATATCAATAAACTATATACTAATACACCGATAAATGAGAAGAGGACAAGATTGACATCACTATTTTTACATGCTAATAATCTAATTTTAATAATATTGAAAGAAAAATGCTTGAAAACTTAATATCATTTTTGTTTTTTATAAAATACATTTTCGATTTTTTTCTGATAAAATGTAATTGTTATGTATCATTATTATTATCACACTTACTGAACTTCCGTTCTTCTTCCCTCTTATTATTATAATAATGTCAGTCGTTACAAACTTTATCAAATTACATATTCCAGCGATCAACATGAACATGTGTGCCTATTATGTTTTACTATTTTTGAAAGTTTACAAAGAAATTAATTAAAAATAAGCCAAAATTCAAATGAATTCAGAGAAGACATTATTTTTTTCTTTGACAATATCATTTTACATTTTTCTATTTTTATGAAGGCATTTCTATATGAAAAACATGCATATTTGTTCGTTTTGCGTTTTAGTAAAAAATATCTTACTATTTCAAACTAGATGGTATTCGAGTTTCGACTCGAATACGAAATGCGGTGCGAAGCACGAATCGACAGAATCGAGAAAACGAGTTTCGAATCGAATACGAATAATCGCTTTAAATAACCATCGTAATTCGCTCTCATCTTGTACAGTCTAACTTCTACGACAATTGAAAATGTTTCTGAGTCATTTTTGAATCAACAAAGAAATATTTTCGTCAAACAGCTGATCTAATTTAGATACAACATAAAAAGCAGCCATTCTAAAATTCATCACTACAGGAACTCTATCAAAACGCATTGACAGATTTTTTGAACTCGCTGTCCATTGATCGATTAATTATCTCAATGATTCATTATATACGATTAGCTGTATTCACATCTGTTTGATATATGACTAAAGAAATTAGCGCCTAATTTTTTTTTGAATTTTCGTTTTAATTATCTCTAAAGAAAACTTCGTCAAAACCGTGTTTTTGGAGCTCCGATTTTAGACGAACTACTGGCTCTATAGCAGATTCGACTAAAAATGGTACCAGTTCGATCTCGATATTTGCATTTCGCTTTTGAACGAGCATTGTGTGAGTTTCCGTTCTCGAGATCATTCGAACAGAAAATGACCACTTTTATGCGTACGTCGAGAAAGTAAAATAAAAAAGTAAAAAAAAAAAAAAACTCGCGCACGACTACATAAATGCTGTGCTTCGCACCGCATTAAAAAGCTTACATTCATTTTCTTTAATGTTTTATTTGTTTACAGAATACTCCGAACAGGAAATACTCTGTTTTCTTTTCTTTTAACTTTTTATATTTATTTGTTTTTATTAACATAGAATATATTTGTATAATATCAAATTGATCTACAGTGTCTCTGAAAATTATTCGAGCAAGTTTTGTTTTCAATTCTCAACTACTGCCGAAAACGCTAAAAAGATTTTAATAGTAATTTGAGTAGAGAATTCGATAGACAATAAGCATTTTTAAAGATGAAAATGATTGCCAGTTCTTCAAGAATAAGGTTTCTGAAAAACTAAAAGTTATATTTTTTTGCTTCTATAATTTGAAAATAAAATTCTCTAAGGATTACATAGAATAACAAAGCAAACATTCTTGACATAATGGAATGCCTTCAAGCTCTCTTTTTGATGTTCATTTGACTGAGATGCATCAGTCTCACGGGCAATATTTTATCCGGCGAAGACAGCGAGAAGAAAAAGCACTTCTGCAGATCTGGTTGGCGCTTCCAAGGTTTGTTGTTCTTGTAACAACATTTTATTTGTCTATGCTCTCAAAATAGCGTTCATTCCTCTGAAAGATAACATCGTAATAAAATACTACTTGTGAGAGGTACAATCATTGGGTTTCCACAGAAACAAAGCATCAGTATCTCACATAAGGTTGCTGTATCTAAATCAAAAAAGAATTATAGAGAGTTGGAAGACATTTGATTTTGTCGAGAATTATTTGCTCTATCATTCTAGGTAATCCGAAAAGAATTCTATATTCAAAGTCCAAAAGCTGAAAAACTTGGATTTTGAGTTTTCAGAAATCCTATCATTGAAAAATCAGCAATCGTATTCATCTTCAAATACACTTATTGTCAATAAAATTCTTTAGTTAAATCACTATTTGAATACTTCTTGATGTTTACAGTGACGAGAAAAATTGAAAATAAAAGTGATCAAATAATTTTTGAAACTACTGTATTTTAATCGTTTTTGTACTAACGCAAACTCAATTATTTATAAAGAACTTATTCTAAATTTATGACTGTGTTCTTTTATATTTTCAATTTTTTTCCGTGATAAACAATCGTTGAATAGTTTAACGGAAGAAGCATATAAACAAATAGTTTTTGATTTCTTCATTAAATATACTTCGGACAATCCAAAAGTAGTGGTGGAAGTATTTTTAATTCTTTATAAAAAGGTTAAACAAACGTTCTCTCTATATACTCAGACAGACAAGAATTCCAGAAAACGCGTGTAAATGATCAATAATTGATTTTTTGAATATTGAAACGCATGTCTGAGAAAGTGGTTATGAAAATCGCTAAAAAGTATAAATTTTAAAAGTGTTTATGTACATATTTTGTATGCCCATTATTCATACCTGTTTACATACATAGAGTATAAACTGTATAAATTTTTTCATCCCCACTATTCTCCACACGCATGTAAACATTCCAAAAGTTCACTTTTTAAGTATTTACACGTGTGTTTGGAGTCCGTTTTTTATTCGGGATCAGTAAAAATGCGGTGACAAAAGTCGGATGTCGGAAAATTCAGCATTTTTACGACTTCCGTTTTTGGCCGTTCTTTGCTGACCATCGGAAACCGCGGCTAGCATCCAAAAGTGTCCAATTTTTTTTGTACGTTTACATACGTTTTCGGAAGTTTCCGGCTTCCTGAGTAATGTGATAGTAAAAAAAATACTCTATTTTTTCCACAATACTTGATCATCCTTCAACTAATATCATAATAATAAAATTTCAATAAGACCTGTTTGGTTAGGAAATGTGACGGTTAAATTAGTTCATTTTGTCTTCTATATCTATTCTCTTTTTGACTGTCTCGATGTTCTTTCTTTCTCTCTTGTCTTTATACGTAGGTGAAGTTAACATCAGATTCAAGTAATTACAGTACCGATTTGCTCAGGATGTGTACCAAGTTCTCTTCTTTGTGTTCCAATAGAATTCAACATGTTCTATAGAATATTCTAATTTTGAAAACCAAAAATACGATCCTCAGCCCAAAATATTCAGCTACCTTCCAATAGCCAATGACGAAAGCAAATCAGAAGCATAGTCTCTCTCGGAAAGCAAGATAGTGCATGTTCACAAGATTCTAAAAGAATAAACCTCTAAGCTCTGACATACATTATGTGGTCGCATCCTATCAATCAGAAAAGCACTTATCGAAGGAATCTCTAAAGAACTTCTGCACGTGTATAAAAAAAACATGAACAAAAAAAATGTTACATCATAGATCCATCATTACTAATGTATGTAGATGATTCAATTAGCAAAAGAACTTCGCATGACTTTTTTTATTTTGATCTTTTTCTATTAATTCATTCTATCGATAACTAGCGCCAACTATCTATTATGATATAAATATAACATGGATGATATATGGACAAAAAATTTTTCATAAATGATTATTTCACAAGTTGAATAAAATGAAAATACTGTTTATATATATTTTTTAGATTGTTTTTCGTTTTTCGTTTTTTTATCAAAGAAAAGAAGAAAAGCAATATGGTAAATTAATTTCTTTTTGTTTTCATTTATCTATTTTATTTTAATTTAATAATGATTTAGTCAAAAGATAAAAAACTTAAAACCGGTGGTAAACTTATTCATCCAAGTAGTCGAAAAGCTAAACAAATTTCAAGATTAGAATGTCATGCAGGTCGAGTTGTTAAGTAAGATGTCTTTTTTTTTCGGCAAGAAAATTTTTCTTTTTATGTATTTAATTCATTATTCAGAAAACGTCAAAATACAAAAGCTAAATATAATAATTTACGTGATAGAATTCAATGGTTTAAAGATCAATTAAATGGAACTCAAACTCATTTATCACAACCAGAAATACATGAACTTATTCACCGGTTAGTTGGCGTTTTATTTTATTTTTTTATTCTTTCATTTTACTATACCGATATTTAGACAGATATCTTCAACGATTTCAAGATGAACTCGAACAAATTGACTTAAAAAATCAGATAGGTCAACGGCAAAAAACACCACAATATGCGTCACGTAAAGCATTAATTGAATCAACAGTAAATACTGAACAACATGAATATGAAACCAATGGCATTGGTATTTAAAAATACGTTTATTTTCCTTCTTAATATGAATTTCTTTTTTTTTTAAAGAAATACCAAATCTCACCCGAATCGATGCTGTTAAAGAACTTCGGTATGAAAGTTTGAATATACACTCTTGAACAAAAGTTTGACCCCTTCATCAAATCTCAGTCATCATAATTAGGGCTTCATAATCTTAAAAGGCTGTCTACTATAGTTTGTCTTGTTTCTTATCAAATACAAGATTAATTTTGTCTATCTTCACACGAAACTTAAGTCCAATCTATGGTCTTTCTTCATCCAAAAGATAAATTTATTTTGCATGAATATTGATATCTTTAAAATCCTCAACACTAACAAGCTGATCATTGGTATGTCATATCCCTCTAGTTTAACATTTGATTTTGAAACTTGCAGAAAAAAAAATGGTAAGACATAGAAAAAGCTTCTCTAAAATTTTCAGGTTGATATATTGAAGTATCACTGAATTATGGGTCTTGCAAGGGCAATAAATGGGTTTTTTTTTGTATACCGATGGTTAGAGTAAAATGACTACAATTCTTGAAGAGGTTGGCGAACATTCACGAAACTTGTATGACAAATAGCTGGAACATAGCGTTACATAATGCTTAAAGCAAGAATAGACACCATTCAACAAAACACAGTGTCTACTAAAACAAGCGGGATGCATGAAATTTCACTGACCTGCATTGATGGTGATGCATGAGCACACAAATTTCCAGACCTCTATCGAAAGCCCGTCGAGTTAGTCCTCAGTCCAATGGACTCTAGTCGTCTGAAAAACGTGTAGGATTTGCTAGTCATTAAATACAAAAAAACCAAAAAAAACTTCATTAAAAGTATCAAAGTATAGCTCGACCCATCCGACGGGCTCTACTACTATCACTTATGATGACTGAGAGCCGATATGGAAAAAGACTTTTATTCAGAGATGTAATATAAAAAAAAAACTTGAATTCTAGATTATTATTTTTTTCTTAAATAGAAATTGGGATGGTAGTATTCGATTGATGCCACGTCTTAAATTATGTTTAATAAAACATAATAATTCAACATCGAATAAAAATGATAATAATGATCAAATTGTTTCAATTGATAATGAAAATGAATCAATGGATAGTGATGTTGAATAAAAACAAAAAAGAAAAGAAATAAAATAAATAAATTCATTGGAAAATTTTGTCTTTCCTCTCTTTAAAATTCATTGTTTTTTATGATTTTAATCTATTTAATACATTCAACAGTGAATCAACATTTAGATTTTATAGTAATGTAACAAATCAATATGAATTATACAAGGTCATGCTTTCAGTCGAGCTAGTGAAAAAATCTTTGCAACATATGAAAAATATTTCTTCATTTCAAAATAATTCATGTAATTGTCATCAACTATAATTCATATATATTGTTACATGAATAATAAAGTACTCGAATGAAATTCTCTTTTTCTCGTACATGAGCAATTTGAACCTTTTTTTAATTAAATTAATGTTACACTTGCAAGATTATGTTAAATGTTTTAAAATATTGCTATTAAATCGTGAGAGAATAAAAGTAGAGATTTTTATGATAATCTTTCAAGCAAATAAAACTTGATATGAATAAGATGTTTATCAATTAGAAATAAATTTCAACACATATTTTTAATGGCTTTATCATCCATTATTGTATTGAAGTAAACATAACATTTATAAAGAATGTGAAAAGGTCTTAATTAAATTATTTATAGAAATGAAAAAAACAATTTGAACTATTTCTTAATGAGAACACCAACATTTATTAACAAACAACAATACACAGCATATCAATTATTTCTTTAATTGGATGCATTAAAGATATTATTAATTAAAGATCTGCTTATGTTGAGAGTCTGTTATTTTTGTTTCAAGATAAAAAAAGGTTGTCAGTATGACCTCTTAGAGACTAAAATATGGAACAAGACATACTTTATATATGCTAAAAAATAATTTACTAAAGATATATATTTTATTCAATGAAAAAAAAATTTGAACACTCGAACAAATGAAACAAAAAAATATTAAGAGAGAGTTTGCCGACTCATCGAGATCCGTTATTACATGATCGAAATTAATATTTGTTAAATCTCATTCGATTTGTTGCATAAAACTAACGTCATAGAAAAATGTTCAGCTCCCTAGGACATTATTTGACGAAGCTAGAGGCTGGAAAACATAGAGCTGTCTACAAAACTGCAAAAAAATGTTCTTTTCAAGCAAAGTTTCCTTCAAAAGAACTCGTCAAACTAAACAAAAATGCTTCTTCTAAGATGTCCAAAAAGCTGAGTTTTCATACTAATGAAATAGCTTCTCTAAAAAGTTCAGATTTTGTCGGTTATAGTTTTTTTGATTGCGAGCTGCATAACGGGACTCTCAAAGTCGAATAGGATGATCTAACATAATGCATCCTGTAGAGAATTTTGTGTCCTAAAACAATCCATATACAAAAAATTTGAGAAAACAGTGTCATATTAGATCGAAATTTGAAAAACAAAGGGGTAGAAGTAGCATGACTGCATACAAGAAAAGCGAAAAGCTCCATCATTTTAACAATAAACGTTCATTTTCAAGTAAAATTCGTGTCTTAGTCGTTGTCAATATCAAAAATTCAGTTAGACAACATAGTTTTCGTTAAAAATAATTTTTCGACCAAAATTCATCTGCTGGAAATCACAGACAAAACTTTTACAGAAAATAGCCGAGAAGTAGTAGAGATAAATTTTGCTGAAAAATTATTTTCAACGAAACCTATGTTAGTTGACTCATTTTTTAATCTTGATACCGATTATGGCACGGATTCTGCTTGAAAATGAACGCTTAATGGTTAAGGCTTCCCCTGTAAAAAATGTCAATTTTTGTCAAAAACATGAAAATTGAGGTAAATTCGTAGGAAGATAGTTCGAGAATCTGATCTTTCATAAATGACATGACTTCTTATTTGGCACCTCGTTTTTGAAAAATTTCTGTTATTTTCTGCTTGAAAAATATGATTTTTCCACATAGATCGGAAAATCTTTTTTACTTTTTCTCTCTTTATTATGTTTTTGATTGCACATCCCAGACTTCTCGAAGGAGCTTCATTGTACTCAATTACTTTTGCATTTGTTTGAAAGAACATGTTAAAGTGCAGGATATGACAGAGTTTCGTTTTTGAATTAAGCACTGTTACTGTTATTTAAAAGAGCACCTTTATAAGAGCACGAAATTGTTAAGCCATTGAACTTTTCTTCCCTTAAAAAGTAAGAAACTTAAAAAAAAGGGCTATGTCATGTCCTGTATCTTGACATACTCTTTCAAACAAAAAACAATTAAGTACATAGAATGAAGACTCATAAAGAATTTTTGGATTATTAAATGAAATATTTTCGAGCTTTGTTTATTGAGTATCTCGCGAAAATATTCTATTACAGAGCTGAAAACTTTGCCATAGCCTCTCCACTATAATCTCAGTATATCCTGAAAGTTTTAAGTGATTTGAATGTACCTGGTCGAAGATCGATTCTTGAAAAGAGCCTTAAATGATCTATTTTTTCGCTTTTCATATACGTAGATATTTTATCTCACACATTTGTTACCCAACTCTCGACCAAATCATAATATTTTTTTTCAAATTTTTGGTATATGGACTTTTTCAAAGCGCAAAAATTTTTCTACAAGATACATTATTTTAAATTTTCATATTCGATCTTCAGAGTCTTGAAAGATGGATCGCAATCAAAAAACTATGATCAATAAAACTTGAATTTTTGTGGAAATTCTAGAAGAAGCATTTTTGTTCAGTTTCACAAGTTCTTGTGTATAAGATATTGTTTGAAAAAAAAACGGATGAAAAATGATGGAAATAGAAGTGAAACATCGGAAGGAACGTTTTGCAGATAACCTCATGTTTCCAAGTCTCTAGCTCCGTTAGATAAGGTCCTAGGAGCCTAAAAATTTTTCATAACTTCAGTTTTATGCAAGGAGCAGAATGAAATTTAAAAAAATACATGTTAATTTCAACGATGTGATAATGTTCTGTTGTAGAGCTTGATTTTATCGCGAAACGTTTCTTAAGTGTTAATTAAATCTTAGTTTCTTTATTTAATAATGATCAACATAGCAACCATTTCTACAGTACGCCTATGTGTAAGTACAGAATGCTGTCAGCAAGAGATCTGAGAGGAGGAGAACTGGAAAATTTTCAAAATGAACTTACACTCATGTTTTAAGATATGAGTTCTACAAAATTGTGTTCATTACGCATCAAAGAGTTTAGAGTTAATTGTTTTTTTCGTTCTCAACAGTAAAGAACAATCGTTATTTAAGGTTTTTTTTTGTACTTAATAGCCGATCAAATCACTTTCAAGTGAATACGTTTATCGGTACTGAATAGAAGCCTTGAAAAGGTTTACTTGAAGACATCATAATAGAATATTATATATAAACTAGTTCGCTTTTGTTTCATTAAATCAAAAAAGTATAATAAACAGAACCATTTTACTTTTTAATATTAGCTAGGGTGAACAAAAGCTAGGTAAGTAAACAAGACATTTTTGGCATCTGTTTCCTTTTCAATTATTGTTATGAATTACTCTGATTATTTCTCTAGAAGTGTTTGAAATGCACTAATACTCTACAGCAAAAATGAAAAACGACGTTTTTCTTTTCTAGATTTTTCCTTCCTTCGTTTTTTCCTTATTATTCAAATAATAGTGAATGAACTAAGAAAAAAAACCTTCATGCAACAATTTCCTCTTTCATTAAGCATTATCATAAATGAATGTGTGTTCGTTGCCTATGTAATGTATAGTCGATGACGACAAAAACCGGTAAAATCCGTATATGAAGTGGTTAGAAACACATTTTCTTTTTCATCTACATAGTAAAAATGATTCTTGCGTGCTTCATGTTAGTCTGTTTCTATGCCAATCATTTATTGGCACAATGATGTTATCATTTTTTGTTACCTACTTTTCTTTTTCTTATTTTTTTTGCTCTTTTTCTTATAGGAAAATAATTTATTAATGATATTTTATTCATAGGCATTGGTTTTTTTTATCGGTTGTGTTTAAAAGTAAAAGAAAAAAAAGCAAATTAAAACGATGCAAATCAGTGAAACGATTCTGCTTATTATCACAGCAGTAGTAACAGCAATATCGGCATTATTTTGCATTATATCATTGGCGACTTCAAGATGGACACTCACATATGGTTTATTTTGTTCCGGTTGTCCAACAGCAGCACCAGCTGGTCTTTCTATTGTTGCATTTATCTTATTAATTGCTGCTATTGTCATTCTTCTCTTATTAATCTGTCGACTTTTACCAAAAGCAATTCGAATATTATCTTTCATAATTCTTTTTCTTGGAACTATCTTTACATTAGCTTCATATGCAGCATATTTCAATGCAGCAACTGGATATTCATATAAATTAATGGTTGTTGCTCATTTTCTATGCTATGTAGCATCACTTTTGGTTGCATTTTGGCTCGGTGGCTCATATGCAACAACAATAGCACCAGCAAATTGAACGGAAATAAAAAAGAAAAGAAACTATATACACATTAACATTGTCTTTAAAAAACAAAACGTTTTTTTTCTCAATAATTTTGCTTGTTTTATTATAACAAATTGCATGATAATATATGATCAAAAGTCTTATTTTAAATATAATTGACGTATTACTTCCCATTTGAATAGATAAATAATTAAATTGTTCAATATGTCGGTTCAAAAGTATTATAGAAGACAATTTATTTATATCAAAGTACAACTAAACCTACAATATTCTTAATATTATTTCTATGTTTGCAAGAGATAAAGTAGCGTTTAAAATAGTCTACTTAACCAACAAATTCCATTTCTGTTTATTCTTTTTCAAGACATCATCGATGTAAATTATACGAAAACTAGGAAATAAAGAAATAAATCTAATGTTCGGTTCAACTTTATTCCGATAAGATTAGTGTCAACTCATTGTAAAAATTTTTGTTCGATAAGGAAAATATCAATGATTCTAGAAATCTTTTAGTTAATTTTGTTTGTGAAAAATATATTAAAAATTGATATAAGATTTCTACGACAAGGAAAAAAAACGTTATCTAGCGGTCTCTATTGAAAATGCATAGAAAAAAACAAAACGAAAGGAATCACCAATCGAAAACTGTCTATTTTTTTTTCACCAGTTATACAACACGATGACTCAGAATTAAAAATATTTGGCATCGTGTAAATTTCAACATCGGTAAAACAAGTGCAACTTAATCAATTCTTTTCTTCCCATTTTTTTTTCATTGCACCTAATCCCTTTACTAAAAATGGTGAGAACAATCATTTTTCTTTTTATCTCATATTTCATTATCTAAATATTATATAGATGCATGAAGATGTCGATAATGACGAAGAGGAAGTAATCCTTGACAGACGAACATTAATTCATCAACCAAATAATTCCAATTCATTAAGTAATTCTGGTCCAATACTGCTAGGTGTTAATCGATTTAATATTAAAGTATATGATGATCCTATTAAATTATCACGAGCAAAAACAATTCTTCTAGCAGTAACTTGCATATCAATTGTATGTTATTTTTGTACAATACTGGTCAAAATAATAAGACCAACATATTTTCGATTTATTTCATGATATCGAGCATTTAACTCAAATTCAACTGATGATTTGAATAGTCAATGAAATTCTCTATTAAATGTATTCGATACCGAAATTTCATAGATGAACTATGAGAGAAAGGTTTCTGAAAAATCAAACATCTTAGTTTCCAAGTCCCGGAAGACTGTGAGAAGATTAGTTTTTAAGAGTACAAAATCTTGAGTAAAATGAGGAGTTGTCGCATTTCGTATAATATTCCGTTACAAAGTTATAAGCATTACAAAAACAAAAAAAAATGTATTTTTCGATAATGTCATGGTAAATTTCGCTTTGTGATGCTCATAACTTTTTCACGGAAGGTCGTACACTATGAACAAAATAGGTTTTTTTTACGAAACCTGAAAAGGTTCTTTCCGAGGATACAAGGTCAAAACCATTTTTAGTTTCATGCTTGTCGTACGGAACTTTTTTGAGTTTAGTACCAAACGAAAAAAAAGTTCTCAGTTTGTATTTGTGCGAAGAGGCTTTTTTAGGTTCCGTAACAGAAATTTTTTTGTAGAGTGTAGAAAATGCAATAATCCCTAATTTTTACTCGGAATTTCATACTCTTAAAAACTAATTTTCTCAGTCTTGTGAAACGTGAAAACTATCGTATGTGATTTTTTCAGAAACCTTTCTCTCATAGTTGATCTATGCAGTTTTGGTATCGAATGCATTTGATAGAGAACTTCATTGGCTATTCAAACCAATAATTGAATATAAGTTAAGTGCTTGATATCGTAGAGAGAAAAGTCCAAAATGTTTTAATGTTATATTTTCGACCAGTACCATAATATTTTTTGTTTCTTTAAATAAAGGGTATGTTTACTGGTTTATTGGGACCAACATTTCAATTTCTTTCACAACATATGTCAAGTGAATTATCAGCAGTTACATGGCTTATTTCTATGAAAGCAATTGGATTTCTTATTGGAAGTTTTTTAAGTGCTTATCTTTATGCTTGGTAATAATGTTTCTTGTTTGTTTTAAATTCTAAAGTGATTGATGTTTTTTTTTTGTATTCCAATAGGTTTAATGTATGTTGTTTACTTGGTTTATCATGTTTAGCAATCAGTTTTGGTGTTTGTTCTCTTCCACTTATAACTGATTTAGCTACATTTTATTTAACTTCATTGATTCTTGGCATTGGTCTTGGTATTTCTTATAATGGTAAAAGACAAAATTATTTTGAATATTTTAGAAAAATAAATTCATTGTTAATTATAGGTATCGATGCACTTTATAATCGTTTATGGACTCGATCATCATTAGTTTCTATTCGATGGTTACATTTATTAGTTGCTTTTGGAGCTCTTCTTTCAACATCAATGCTTTTTCCATCGAATATTTCAATTAAAAATGATATTTCATCTGCAACAACTATGACGCGTACGTTATTTTGTTTCTTTTTTTTGTTTTTTTTTAATATTAAAAATCTTCAATTTTCTCTTTTGTTTTCTTTTTAAGCATCTTTTCGACCACGTCGTGCAATCGCAAATGAAGTAGCTGATCTTCTTGCTGCAATGTCACCACCAGCTAATGAAGATATGTTATTTAATGCAACAAATGCGTTTAATCTATCGAATGATACATATACAACAAGTGAATCATTTTCAATAGGAACAAGTACAACGACAAAACTAATATTAAAACCATCTGTAGTTGAAACTGACGCTTTAAAACAATCACTCGTTGCTAAACCAATACCTGGAACAGATCAGTCAAATGTAAAATTACCATGTATGAAATTATATTGTTGTTATAATTATAATAATATAAATCAAAATGAAACAATAAGAAATAATCCATTTACTTGTCAAGAAAACAATGATAATCCATCAGATGATTGTAAAAATATTTTCTCATTATGTAAAAATTCAACATCACAAATATGTTTGGTTGATAAAACAAATGTTTCATGTCGAATCGATCTAATTTGTGAAAATGAACAAAAATCAGATTGTTCAATACAATCGATTAATGCTGCTATTAATGCAAGTACTTCTACAATAGCAACTACAGTTATACCAACAAGTACAATAATAACGACTACCATTTTATCAACTACTACACCCAATGTACCTACAGAAAGTACTACTCTCTTACCGTCGACGAGTACGAGTACTTCAACAACTACTCCAACAACAACAATAACAACTACAACAGTAGCGACCACAACGGCAATACGTATGCTATAAAGATCTAATCATCTTGGTCGATTATTAGTTACTTAGTGATGAGGGAACTACTAGAACTGTAACTTATCGTTTGAGCTCGTATTGAACTCAGAAGGAGGTTTTTGTGAGAATAGAAAAATTCTAACAGGGTTCGTGCTCATGGATCTCTGAAGTCGAGTATGCTCCTTTTTACTGTATTTTCGAATCTATTTTTAGGTATTTATTGGAAAATAAAATAATGATTTTTCGATCTGAAATTCAGTCCATAGATAGGTCTAATGATTCTTAGAATATCCTGAAAGTTTCAACTAAAAAGAATGTTTCTTAGCCATTGTATTAAATTTCTAAGGCATAGTCGCGTGTCACAAAAATCCAGCTTACTTGGAAATTCAATATCTCGACAAAGAAACATTCTTTTCCAATGAAACTTTCAGAATATTCTACTAGTCATTCGATCTGTTTCTGGATGAAATTTCAAGTTGAAATTTTATTTTTTTAGTTTTTCAATAAATACCTAAAACTAAGTGAAAAATTCAGTAAAACTACCATAACTCGGCTCTAGAGGTCCGTGGGTACGAACTCTTTTAAGCTTTTTCTAATCTTACTACGACTTCCTTGTGAGCTCAAAGAGTGAGTTACAATTCGGGTAATTCTCTCGTAAGAACATCCGATAAGACTGAAGTTCTATGAATGTTCTGAGAAAATAGCTGAGTACATTTTTGCAACTAACTAGTTATTATAGATTACCTATCATAGATAAATGATTGTATTTCAGAGAGTTTTAGATCAGAATCTCGACAGTATCTAATTATGGACTAATTTCTGGAACATTTGTTCTTGTTATAATATCCGAAGATTAGTAACATATATCTAGAGATTAGAACCAGTACGATAAGAAAAAGAAGTCCTTCATTAAACAAAACTCTCTTTAAAACTACACTTTGTTCACTTGTAAACAGACAGAAGCAATCAATGTTAAATTTTGCTAATTATAAGAAAAATTCTATATTTATTCTAAAAAGCTATTAGCACAATCTTCGGTCGATTAAAATATAGAACACGATGTAGTTGCTGTTCTTAATCACAGAGAGATCGTTTTATTCTATTGATTTCGAAAACACATTTCTTCACCATCCTTTTATTTAATCTTTCGGAAATGCAATAAGGAAGTACTCCATGTATTAGAAGAGACGTTATTGATATACATCCTCTGATCATATATTAACAATGCCTGTCAGGATCTGTGACAGTCTCTGAATAGCGCCTGTCGAAAGAGATGGCACAATCTGCATTTTTTGCATGGCAAGCGGACATGCGACTTTCTTGCTCGGAAATGTATTTCTTTGTTCAGAAATTACTGGATATGATGCAGAAAAGCATTTTTAATTAAAAACAAAGCCATTTTCAAAAGTGTTTTGTGTTATATATCATTGAACGCAGTTTAATGCACTAATTCCAAATATATTATTGTTAACGATTGAATATTTTTTTCAAAGCTAGAAAAAACTGAAAAACCTAAGTTTTTTGAGAATGGACTGTGAAGTTCAGGAATATTTGTATTAACAGAGATTAGAGACAGTAGATGGAAGAATATTCTGGAAAAGTTTGAAAGTTGGATGTGGATAGATTGCTCATTTTACGCAACTACTCCGTCGAATGACACTAGAAAAAAATATGATTTTTTTTTCTCCGAAGTCACACCTGCAAAATAATGAATAATTTCCATCATTGTATAAAGCTCGACTTGGAGATTCAGAAAATATACTTGATCTGTCTGTCGAACAGTTTAATTTTGTCATATATCGATTTTTAAGCAAATTTTTCGGCAACTGATTATTTAGTTTCTTTGAGGATTGTAACAAAATTAGTTATACCATTAGATAGACTATATGTTGAAGTATATTCCGCTACATTTAAATCTTGAAAAAGCGCGATCTTCATCTTCAGCCAAATGCCGTCAACATGCACGTATGGCAGATCTTAATTTTCACTCCTACGCTTCGATACTCCTTTCAGATTATGTTTCATTAAATTCATCTGTACAAATGTATTTCTTCTTCTAAAATTCTGATGTCCTTTAAATATTAAATATTTGAAAAAAAAAACACCTGACTTAATATTGTTTTCATTAGTTGAAACAACAAGCAAAAATACAATAAGTTCAACATCAATAACAACCCACCGTAATAAACCTTCAATGGCTGAATCAGATAAAGATGATTTGTCAAAAAATCTTTTTTTTGTAAAAATTCATTCATTTTTTAATTCAATCACATCCATTAATTTAATTTATTTATTGATTGCATTATTATTTTTTCTTCTGGGTATAATTTATTCAACATTAGCTATGCGTGGTGAAGGTATAAATACATCGTCAACAAAATCAATTAATTTAAATCCATTATCATTATTATTTGGTAATTCTCATCGAACAATAAATAATTCAAATAAATCAATATCATTATTATCAGATAGTTCTTCACTTAAATTTGTTTTACTTCTTATTGTATTTTATTTTATAATGATTGGTATTGAAAGTTCATGTATTTATTTAACATATTTATTTGGTATTGAATTAAAATTTCAATCATATCAATGTTTAATAATACAATTTTTATTTATTTTTGGTCTTGTATTAGGACGTTTAATTGATATATTAATGAATTATGGTTGTTTTTTATTTAATACACGTATAACAAATCGTACAAAAAAACAATCAGATAAATTTCATTTAATATCAATTAAATTTTGTATACTTATACGTTTAATATTATTACTATTAATATGTTCAACATTAAGTTTTTCACATTTATTTCAAGATAATTCAACAACAACATCATCAATACCATCAATACGTATGTTTTATTTTATATTTTTTTTTATTGGATTATTAATAGCATCATTACCAACATTAATTTTATATTGGATTGAACGTGATTTAAGTTTAAATGATTCACTTAAACGTTTTATATTAATAACAATAACAATAAGTGAAATTATAGTTCCATCATTTTTATTTTATACTATAAAACATGTTGTTTTATCATATGTATTTTATTTATTTATTGGTTCATGTTTATTACTTATATTATTTATGTTTATTTTATATACAAGTAAAAAATGGCAACGAAAACAATTATATAGAATATTACCAACATCAATGGAAATGGATGAAATTAATATTGAAAATCATTCAGATGATGATAATAATGATGAGTATTATTTAAATAATGGACGGATGAATTTCAATGAAACGAAAATAAATTTAGATAATGAAAGAATAAAAGGATTAAAAGGACATTAATATACAACAAAAAATATACACACATATCTATAGTTATTTGTGAATAATTTACTAAACTTCTCTCCTATTTGGTTTTTTTTTTAACTTTTCTCATTTATATTTATTTCATTTACTTGACCGGTGGAGAATGTTGTTTGTTTTTGTTATCTGAAAAAAAAAGAATACATTTGATTCGATTTTGTTGTTTACATAAAAAACAACATAGATTGATTGTTTGTTGAAGACTCAAACAAGTATATGATGAAGTATTTTTTTTTCGATGTAGAAATAATTTTATAAAGGACTAACCTTCATATTCAATGAAGTATAACTATTCAATTTGCTTGTGCATATAAGTTTTTCATCATGAATGAGCAAAAAAGTATTTCTTTTCATTTTCTCTATGGATATTATTTTGAGATAATTAATCTTCAGTGTCATTCAGGTTAGTCTGAATCGGACATATGCGGCAAAGATGGAACCGGCCATTATCGGTGTGTTCTTTTTTTTATTTATTTTTATTATCTCATAGAGGATGTGTAATGAAAATTTTTTGAACGTTCACTACGTCAAATGTCACTATCTACAAATGGATATAATACGACAACTCGTCAGTTGAGTGTTGGTATGGATTGTAGATCGACTGGTTTCATCTCTGATGTGCAAGATCAAAAAATAAAATTTTATTAGAATCAGAATCCGAAATTATATAATATCTTTAAATGTCAAGGAAACCTCTCTAGATGTCAAATTGCTTTTTTGACCGAGACGATGTTCATTTGATGAATATTAATGAGTAATAGAAAAGTCTACACTGGCTTAGTTTTCCGAGTCTTCGTTCTTGAGATATCGAAGTTTTACTGAGTTTTTCTAAAAAAAGCTGTAGTCTTCCTTAGGTCACATGAAAAATCGACTTTCGAGTTTTGATTTTGAATTTCTCACGAACAAATTTGTCGATGAGATTAGTTCACTGGATAATTTGTAACTTTTTTTAGTGTCTCCTATCTTGAGATATAGAGTATTCGAAATTTTCTCATGTGTAAAAGTAAATCTTGTTCATATACTTACATCTTCAAAAAGGAAAATACTAGAATAACTAAAACTTACACAATCAATTAATCTTATTAAAAATTTTGTTCGTGCAAAGTTTGAAATCAAAACTCAAAAGTTGATTTTCCAGGTAACTTGAAGGAGACCACAGCTGTTTGTTAAAAAATCTAGTAAAATTTCGATATCTCAAGATTAAAGTCTCAGACAATCAAACCATTCTAGATGGGTCTGGGGTATGGATATCCTCTCACCTACATCCCGCACCCTTCTATGAATCTAAGATTTTTATTGTAGATTCTAACGAATGTACATATTGCAGATTTTGCTGTTTAATGCGATGAAAGAGTCTTATTGTGGATGTCAATTAGTAGGCCATTGATATTATTGATATAGTAGAGTCAGAATAGGACGGACATAGAAAAGTATGAACTAATTGAATTCTCAGTTCAGGCAAAACTAAACAGTATATGGCAAAGTTCGTCGAGAGAAAGGATTGTGTGCTCGGAAGTTTATTGAATGATTAAATCAATGTGGTTAGCAGGCTAATATGGTGGTTGAACTGATGGAGTGAAGAATATAATGATATTTATCACTACTTATGGCATTTATCGTATATATTATCATCAGAAGAAAGGAAGCCATGTATTGAAAATGATATCTGTTAACAATACATATAAGTTTTTTGTTTTTGGTATAACAATGTTAAATGAATCTAATAAATTGATAGAATACGAAATTTTTAAATAAAAACATTTTCGAAATGATAAACTTTCAGAGTGTGCATATCAACTATAAAAATGATTATATTTTTGATTTTATTCATTCATTTGGCTTCTTTTTTTTTTCAATAAATTATTTTAACGCCTCGGATCATATATCATAAATTTATAATAGTCTGAGTTTGTAAGTTTCAAACTTTGGCTCCTCATGGAACCACAGCATTGACAAGTTTATTTTTCATTGTAGTGCTATTTTATAGTTTACTCTATATCTCATGCGTATATCTCAAGAAAAGGTTATTTTTAAAAAATGGTTTATTTACCTTTGACAGTAAAATACATTGCTTAGAGACAAAAAATGTCTGACGATCGACAGCGACAAAGAATTTTTGCGTTTGTATTTACACAAAACGATTTTATTTTTCTGTTCACATTTAAAAAAAAGAAAAACGTATGACTCGACAAAATCGTTTATTCCTATTCATCTGTCTTCTTTCTATGGTATTCATCTGTTTTTATTATAAGATATTGTTTAATGATACTAATAAAAATTCTTTAGTAATATTAAAAGAACAATCCTATCGAGGATGTATTGCAACATTAATACGAAGTGATAATCTTATTAGTTTAAATAAATTATTAAATATGCTTAATTCTCTTAGTTTATTTTTTAAAAATATTCATAATTATACAATCTATTTATTTCATGAATCAACATTAACAAATAAAACTAAAGAACAAATACTACATTGTTCATCAAATTTAAAAATAAAATTTTATGAAATTTATTTTAATATAACAATTCAAACAAATCGTTCTGGTTATGCATCAATGTGTCAATTTTGGTCATATGATATTTGGTTTAAATATAATTATTTACAAAAACAACAATGTGATTATGTTATGAGATTTGATGATGATTCTTATTTAATTAATTCTACTCAATATGATTTATTTGATGAATTTCATAAGAATCAACTTGATTATGCATATAGAGTAATCTATCATGATAGTAATGGTTTAGATTTTCTTCAAGAAAATCTTCGAATGTTTTTACCAAAAAATCAAACTCGACGTAGTTGTATACAAGGTTTATGTACATATTTAAATGGACCTGTTAGTTATGATGGTTTAGCTATTTATAATAATTTTTTTATCATTCGTCTTAATTTAATTTATGAACATTCAATTATAGAAAAATACTTGAAACAATTAATATCAATAAATGCATTTTATCATTATCCTATTGGTGATGCAAATATCCAGACAATATGTTTACTATTGATTGAAAAACCATTAAAAATATCATTTTTTAAATTTCCTTATAACCATAATGTACATGGTTCATCAGATATACATTCAACATTTACGTTTCATTCAGCCACAGCACTAGCGTGGCATTATCAAATGAAGGTACCAAATGTAACATGTAAAAAATTATATATTGCAGCACAATATCATATGATAATAAAAAATCTTTAGAAAAAATAAAACAAATAATATTAATAAAAAATATATTACAGTTTATCTAAGAAGTGTAATTGTTAAGTGTAGGTTCACATTCATTTTGTTCTTGTTAGTACATCACATTAAACTGAGCATTGGTTATATTTGTCCACAATTATATCACCTTGATGAATAAAGTTACATTCGATAGTTGAACAATATCAATATCTACATTGTGTGGATCATTCAAGCCAGTCATTATTGACGGTATGAATCTAATAAGCGTGTATTTTTAACAAAATGTTGATTACATTGTACTTGTGATATTGTGCTTCACCATTTTGTTTAAAAACAGTAGGATCCAACAAAATGATAATGTTCATGATGTGTATCAGGGCTCTGCATGGGATGGGATGGGATGAAAAACTTCGTCCCCATGAAATGAACTATCTCAAACTGTCTGATGTGGAATGAGACTATCTTCAAAAGTTTTGTCCCATGTGGGATGGAACTATCCTCAAATATTTCATTCCATCTTATCTATCCCATGAAGCTTCACGCTCGTCAAGTATCAAAAAAAAGAAAATTCTAAACACATTCATTGTTTCCATTAACACTACCAAATTTGACATCATTTCATTTTCTATTTCATAACTTTATCATAACCATGTTCACATTTCGGCGAGAAAGACATCTATTTCGAAACGATTGGGTTGTTCTTAATAAGAAGAAAAGATTATTGAAAAAGACAAATGTCTTATAGGACGAGATGGGATAGGATTGTCCCATCCCACATGAAGTCCTAATGTATATATTAGATATAGATTAAACCGACAGGTAAAATAGTTGACACAGATATCAATGTTTCATATTAATGATAAGAACATTCACAAAAAGAAATTTTCTTTTCTTTATATTATTGCGCAGTAGGACAAAAATAATATTCACACTGTTATAAACATATTTATTTAACGATAAAAAAAAAAATATTTTTTTGACATAAAAAAAAGAATCTACCAGAAGAACCAGTTGACTATTTACTTGATTTAAAGCATAACTTTAATAATAAGAAGAATTGATGTAACAATTAAAGCAATAAATGATGGACTTTCTCGAAGAATAAAAGCACCACTATCATGTTTAGAAGTTGTTGTTGGAGATTGTGCTGTTGTAGTTGTTTGTGTTAAAACTGATGTTGTCATAGTTGTGTTTGTTGTTGGTGGTGACGTTGGGTGGGTACTATTAGTAGATGCAGTATCTGTTGTAGTCGTAGTAGAAGTGGTTTCGCTTGTAGTGTTACTAGTAGTAGTTGTAGTTTCTGTTGAAGTTGTCGTAGGTGTAGTAGTTGTAATGGTTATATTTCCTTTAGTTGTAAGTGGCCATGGTGTTGAAGGAGTAGTTAATGGTGTTGTTGTTTCATTAACAACTTCTACATCCTTGCAATCAGGTTTGACTACGCCTGTCGTTTGACTAGCACAGGATAAAGGAAAAGTCTTCTTGCAAGTTTCAAAACAAGAAGAACCATCACACGATGGAATTTTGATATTACCCTCGAATATTGGATCACAACTTGGACCATCACAACAATAACATGTACAAAAACCATAAGCATTTGTTGTTGGTA